CCCCCCCCTGTTACTCAAATTTGTAGAAATTAAATATATTTTTTGATCCATATGAAAAATTAAAAATGACGATGATGAAAATCAAACCTAAATTTTCTTCGAGTATTTACTTTAATTCCTTTTCCTCATCTACTAAGTTAACTTTGGTGGTTTTGTAGAAATAAATATATAGCGTAGTCTATTATTTAGTTTAAAAATAATCGGTCAACAATAAAAATAATTCATCCATGTTAAACAATTGGTAATAATAATAATGATGAGTTAATTATAATTGTCAGAATAAATCTTTAATTTGTTTTTTGATACATATGAAAAGGGGAAAAAACAAAAAGAAAGTTAACTACGAAGAATAGAAACTCCCATTACATATCCTAAACAGGTATGGGAAAGAAAAGGTGGACTAACATTCCAAATCTTTAAGTTGGCAGTAGAATGAGCACCATGTTTTGCAAACTAACCCGCACCTTGATTGCTTTTGAAAACTGTTACAATAAATCCTTAATTTAATAAAGTATCGTATTATTTTTAAAATAAATAAATGATACCTTAAAGATTAAATATTAAATATATTATTATATATAAAGATTGTTTTACATTCATTTATTTGACTGGTATTACAATTGATTCTCAAACTTATTGAGTTCAAGTTTTAGGGTTGATTAAAAGAAGAAAAAAAAACGATGTTGAGAGGGATAACCTTAGTGTAATTAATAATTTTGAAAGAGAATATTTATTCCAATAATAAGTCTATCTAGACTTATTCCACTCGATAAATTATGTTATACATCAAATTTCAACAACCTAATTGTTGAGTTAAAAATTCTTAATGCATAGTCAACAAATTGTTAATGTCTCATTAATTCAAATTGATGGGTGAAAATTATTTAATAATTTATTTCATTAATTTAAATCAAAGTATAAAATATTTTTATGATTATTCATCAATTTAAATTAATGAAACAAAGTATTAAATAATTTTTAAATGTTTTAAAATTTAGAAACTTGATCTATACATATTAAAAGCTTTTAATTTAATGTTTAATGGTTAAATCGTTAAAATTTGATATAAAATATTATTAAGTGAAGTAAGTTTAAATAAAATTACTCTTAGGGAACGTTTGGTACGTAGAATGTTTTTACATTCGTGAGAATATTTGATAGCTATTTAAAAAGAAAAAGGAAATACTATGTGATTTTTCATAAACCATTTTTATCTCACTTTTTCACAAAAAATTCTCATGGGACTAGGAATTCAACTTTCTCGAATTAAGAATAAAGTTTCATCTATATATATAAAAAAATCACAAAACTCCTTTTTAAAACAAAAATTATATCTTTCTCTCTCTTTTTATTTATCTTTCTCCCTCTCTTTCTCACTCTCCCTCTCTTTTCCTCTCTCTCTCTCTCCCTGCATCTCTCTCCTTCTCTCTCTCTCTATCCTTATATTTCTTTCTCTCTCTCTTTCTCACTCGCTATTTCTATCTTTGTCTCTCTCACTCTCACTCCTCCTCTCTTCCTCTCTCCCTCTCCCTCTCTCTCCTTTTCCCCCTCCCATATCTTTATTTCTCTCTCTCTCTCTTTCTTGTATCTCATTATTTCTTGACATTATCAATTTTAATAATATTATTAAAGTTTATTTTGTTTTTATATTTTAATGGAATTTGTTAACACTTTATTTATTTATTTTTTAGTTTTTATATATTTGAGTAAAATGAAATAATATATTTTTGTTCTTCTTAATCATAATGTAGCATTTTTGTTTTTATTTTTTGTTGAATTCTACATTTGAATAATTTTAATAAATTTTCAACTTTTTATAATTATGTAATATCATATTTATAATAAAATTTGAGTAAATAAATATTTCTAGTAAGTTTATTTTAATTAAGGATATTTTTGTAGAAAATTTTATAAGTAACCAAATATATTTTTGTTATTCTCGGAAATCATGATTCCTATGTATTAAAAAACTTCTTCCCTACCAAACATTCTTTTAGAGTAAGCGGATCCCTCTTCACACAATCGACAACCAACAAAGGATGAACAAGCTAATGACTAACATCAACAACATTCACCTGGATATTCAGATTATTAGACATTATGTTATAATTTTACTGATCGTACTATATGTTGCTTTTAAATTTGAACTCCTAAACTTTTTTTGTTATGTATGACATTTTATTTTGTATGAATGAACTTGTTTTGATTTACATAATTATGATTGATTTAATATCTTTAAATAGGATAATTATTTAATACAATTTTGAATTTTTTTTAAAAAAATATAATTTCCCATAGAATTTCCCACGAAAATTTCCCACGGACTTATCCATGGGAAATTACCGACAGATAAAGCCGTAGGTTCCCACGGATAAATCCGTGGGAAAATATGTCAGAAAGTTACTCACAGATAAAAATCCATCGGTAAATATTTCAGACAAGGCTTTCCGTTCAACAAAAACACACAATCTAAACTCGGATCACTACACGTAGACCGAATTTTGACGAATTCTTGTTTGAAGTTCTTGTATGATTGTGTAAATATTTGGAACAATCCTCCTCCTTTTGAACTCCCACTCAACGAAACCCAACCAAAAGGTGGCTCTCCTAACTTTATTTGATAAAAATGCATAAATTTCGGCAAACTTACTTCCATCCCTAATACCGCACACAATATTTGAAATGCACGCAAAAAACCCCAACTATTAGGGTGTAGTTGACTTGGTGCTATGTTAACCTTTTCCAAGAACTCACATTCAAATGGTGTGAACGGCATTAGAACACCTAAATCCTTAAACACGCACTTATACATGTATATACTAGGAGACACGTTTGATCCTTCGAAGTACACACGCTCTTCAGACGAACAGGGTTCTATTAAGATTATTAAGATTTGCTCTAGCATAGGGGGCACACAAAACTTTAGGTGATGCTGCAAAACACTCACTCCCATTAAATCCCCAAACCTGCTGCTATACTGACCAACATCACCTCTCACCCATTCATACCCAGATGTTACAATTCTAGGATGAGAATCTTTTCGATTGTTTCCTCCTCTTTTTCAAACTTTCGTCTCCTCCGCCTCAACCATTTTACTCTTTCCTTTGCCACCTTTCATCCCACCCTCACCCCTCAACCTAAGCCTATGGGATCCGTATAGAACGTAGCTACAACTTAAACGCAAAGCAACAGGGCTAAGGGAATACCTGGAAATGCAAACGCTTTACCCACGTTGACGCTACTTTCACGCTTCGCCTTCTAGCACCTCTCTAACAAAGCATACGAATGTATGCGTGTATGCACAGACCCCTTTTTAATGGCTATTCTTACATCCCTCCAAAACCCAAGTGTTTCCTTTAAAAATCACACATCCCCACGCGCCTATCGTTTCGTATGTGATGCCCATTCATTACATCCCATCACTCTTCCAACACGTGCACTGAAACGACACGACCTCTTAGGTGCCAGTTGTCATTATTCTATCATTGTGACTCCTCACGTCACCTCCAGTGCGCAACTATTCTATGCGCTACGACCCCTCGTTATTCAATCTCGGTCATCTCTGCATTAGGCCATTCCGGCCTTATCAACCTCTTTCGCTCCTACCTCGCTTAGAGCTTGGGGGGCTTATGTACCAACCTAGATTAAGGCCGAGCTCAACCGAGTTCATTAGACAATTTTGACCGAGGTGACCGCCTGGTCAAACTAAAGTAAATATATGAAACGCTGAGGTGTGACATCGGATAAGGGAGATTGGTAATACACCTCGGCATATCAATGACATCGAATATGGATCAACCGCCGATAACCCTCAGAAGATAACCAGGTTCGGAAGGTTTGGAACTAACACCCTCCGAGGTGGAAGATATAGAAAAATTGCAAAAGCTACCTCGGCCTTTAGAAAGCAAGTCAGTTTTAGTGCTTGCTGGATCAAAGAATCCTCAAGATGATCTAGAGAGTAAGTTATACGATAGTAATTAATGAACAGTGATGTTACCTCGTGACATGAACTATTTATACTAACATTTATGGACCCTGATCCTCTTGGGCCCTGCAACATGTTTACCGTATTAGGTAATACGTCCTAATCGGTTTATCGGCGTAATTAACCCTTAATTACTGATTAACAGTAATATATGAGTGCAGGCCAATCCAGGTGGCTGATCGGGTGTCGACCGCCAGGTTCGGCCATTTGGTTGCCGATAGAGTGTTGGCTATACGGTGGCCGAACGCCTTTACCCGTACACTTGCCCCCCAGCCTTGGAGAAGGGCTAGTCCTCTTCAAGGGTAAATGGATTGTTGGCAAAGGGTAAGGCGAACGGTTTTCGTAATCTGAACCATTGGATTTTGAAAATCGGATGGTTACATTTTTTTTAAATTTGAAATTTCCCACCATTTTCCTTGGCTATATATAGCTGAGTGGTAGGGCCTCTCATGCGTATTGCTTTCAACCGAGGTGTGCCGGCCGAACCACCGTGACCTCGAATCAAGCGTGCCGAGCGACCTTACGTAGATCTTTGAATATTTTGGTAAGTTCTTACTACCATGGCTGATGTTTCCAACAGCTCTTCGGCTAGCAGTTCTCGATCATCCTCGTCCGAGGGGTCGTTGTCCAGTGATTCTAGCCGCCCCTGCGCAGAGTCTCCAGTGCATGCCG